GCACCTTAGTATTTCACTTCAGCACTGCGCCTCCTCTGAGTCTGGGTATGATATTCTCTTTCCTCCTAGTTGTAGAATTTCCACTCAGCTAGCCTTCCTGTGGTTCTGGATGATGTCCGTTCCGTCTTTTAGTTGTATTTTTGATTGGTTGTTCGAGGCAGCAATCTCTGGCGTTAACCTATGCCGCCATCTTGGTTTCTCTCCTTTTCCATACTCGGGTCAGAACTTCGTAACCCTTTTTGTGCCTTGGGAAGTTTGGGGAGCCCCATGAACCATGAGAGAGAGAGAGAGGGACATTGATTGGTTGCCTCCCACAGGCACCACAACTAGGAATCGAACCTGTAACCTGGGCATGTGTCCTGACCGGGAATGGAACTGGCAACTTTTTGGTGCACGGGACTACACTCAACCAACTTAGCCACACTGGCCAGGGCCAGAGTGACATCTTTAAATGCATACAATAAAATGTGTAGCATAGCAAAGGAAATCAATTATATTGAAACACAGTTACCAAACTATTAAAAATGTAAGTTTGTAATATAGTAAGTCATGTGTATCTTTATACTGTATTAAATAATAAGATCTAGTGGAAGGTCCAGTGACTGCTATACTTCCATAGTGATGAGCATACATCATATCTCCAGATATCTGCCACAATGCATGGCAGTATGAACATACTACAGGGACACTGTGGTTCGTTGCCTTCATTCCTAATGGAAGAAAATGGTAACTTTCAGTTAGAGGTTAGTGAATAACAGTTGTGATGTATTCCCCATGCAAGTTCATGAATCTCTGAGTTCTGCCCACAGGCCCTTGTGAAGGGATTGCTAAGTGAAGGGGAGCCAGATGGATGGAATGCTGAGTCTACGGGGAGACACAGCCCTCATCGGCCCACTTCCTCAGACTTGACTACAATACAAAAATCTCCTCTAATCTGTTAACAGAGTCCCAGAATCACAGGCTTCCAGAGCTGGAAGGGCCAGGCCCATTATGTAGATGCTCCTGTTGCATGACCTGGCTCTTTGCTTCTGCTTGCACACCTCTAGGGAGGGGGAGCTCACTCTCACTCTGGACTGGATAGCTTCAACTTCCCTGAGCTATGATGACATACAGAGATGAATCAGACATAGGCTCTGTCCCCACAGCTAGAGGATAGAGAAAGAGAAGGATCCAACTAGCGCTAAAATGCTTTATTTACTCAAGTATTCTCCGAGCTTCCACTAGCTGTCAGGCCAGAGGTGGGTACTGAATATACTGAGATTTACTTTCATAAAGTATTTTCTGGGTGTGTGCTCAGGCATGGCGCTCTGTACCTGGGGAGACAGACAAGTGAGGGAACACAGAAATCAATATGTACTAGTAATTGCAGTTTGTGGTAATGGCTGTAAAGAGATGAGCAGGGAGGACTCACAGAAGAAGTAACTTCAGATGGGGGAGAGGAGAGGTAAAAGAAAGCCTCTTGGCGAAAGTAACATGTAAGCAAGACTTGAAGGATCTGTTAGCATCTGGCGGGCAAATGGGACGGGAAGACCAGTGCAGGCAGAGGGAAGAGCAAGTGTGGAGAGGCCTGATGCAGGAGAGCGCTGGGCTGCCGTTAGGACTGACAGGAGGCACCGGGGCCAGATGAGCCTGGAGAGGAGGGTAAGGGCAGGTTGTGGGGTCTTCAAGCCCAGGCTAAGGAGTTTGCATATTATCTTAAGAGCTATTGGAAGCCCTAAAGGGGTTTAAGTAGGATCTCTTTGAATGAATAAAGCAAAGTCTCTTAGGCTTGCAGCAAAGACATTAATGAGACAAAATATTATAAGAATGAGCAAGAAAAGCTTTTATTTTTGTGCTCTCAGCACCCTTCTTGAATGTACTATCTATCCTGCTTTCTCTTGCTACAACCAGTCTGGGATGGAGCTGGACTCTGCCACCTGCTGGCAACAACTGGAATGTCAGGCAGGATGAGGTGGGCAGAAAGGTGACTGGGGGAACAGACAGCCCACTTGGGCTTTGCTGAAGGGTAAGCACACAAGGATGAGCTCCATGGAGGGCTAAGGGAGCCTGATGATCAGGATGGCAGATGATTCAGGAGGGCTGGGAACAGGAGGAAGGAACTGAGCACTGATGGAGCAGCAGCTCAGAGATGAGGACACAGGGTCCACCCCTATGGGGCTGCTGAGGTCTGAGTCCAGATTTTGGCTCCAAGCCAGACCAGTTAGGGGGGCCCAACCTGTTGCCATGGGGACCCAGGGCTGTGTCCATACAGATGGGGAGATGACCCCCCTCAGCTGTATGAGGACACCCAGAGAGCAGGGACCAGCCTCAAAGCCAGTGTCCACCCACACTCCCCTTTCCGGAACAACTTGTTTTGCTCTAAAGCTTGGGACTTTGACCTGGGAGGTGTGTTTTCCTCCTGTTGGTCACCTGATGTCCTTCCTGCTTATCCCACTCTCCCCCACCCCCCAAAGCATGGCCCAGGGAATCCTTGTACTTCCCCAGGCTTTTTAGGGAAGTGGGGGTGCTGCTCAGGTAAGGGAGGAAGGACCTGGGACTTGGGGACTGATGGGAAAGGCTGGGCTGCTCTTGTGAGTCGCTGGCTGGAGGGGGCTCACAGCAGCGACTTCCCTGTCCACGTCTTTTTGGATTCTCCTTTCTGGGTTTCTGGGACACCCCTTCCTCTGGGGTTTCCTCCTCCTGCTTTATCCTGACTCCTCTTTCATGAAAAACCCTTATGTGTTGGGGCTGTGTCCTGGCTTCTCACTGCTCCCTCCCCCCCCCCCCCCCCGCCCCCAACACACACACACACACACACACACACACACACACATGGCCTGGGAGACTGGCACTCTCATGTCTCAGTTAACCCTGCTGTACCACAGATGGCTCCTGGATCTAACTCTCTATTCCTGGGATCTGACTGCCTTCTGAACCTTTTCCTCTGGAGGGCCAACAGGCACCACAAGCTCATCATTCCTCCCCACGTCCCGAAGCTTGCTCTGCCTTGTGCTGGGCACCACCTTTCACCAGCAACCCAAGCCAGAAGCCAGGAGTCACCCTCAGCTCCTCCCTGTTTCCACCCACTCCCGCTAGTCACCATGTTCTAGCAGCCATGGCCCTTCCTAAGGAGGGCTCAGATCTGTTCCTACTGCCCCTCTCTGGTGCAGGCCACAGCCCTGGCTGTGTGGCTGTTGTACAGCCTCCCATGTTCTCCCTTTCTCCAGTCTTTGCGTTCCCCTTTCCTTCGCCACTCTCTGTCCAGAGGTGTTTTCAAAAGCAAACCTGACCGGACGCCCCTGCTTGAAACCCTTGAAGAAGGCATTGTGGATGTTTGTTAAATGCAACCCCATTCCTGGCATTCCAGTCAGTGAACCTGTGGCTGTTCATTAACATGCATGGTGCTGGTTCTAGACAAACTTTGTGCCAGAAGATTCTGAGGACACCAAGCTGGGCTAGGGAGGCAGAGCAGGATATCCATGTATGGAGGGGCCACTGGACTGTAAGCCAAGCCTCCTTGGATCACTTTGAGACACCCCATCTTTGGATGGAAATGGGCCCACTGCACTGCCGTGTGCACACCCACACCCATGCAATTGGGGAAGCAGGGACGAGGCGTAAAGTCTGAGTGTCAGCCCTAGAAGACCTGTCCTGCAGGAGAAAGGGCTGCCCAGGAGGTCCTGTGAGCAGCAGTCTGGTGGCTTCTGGCCAGGGAAGCTGTGGAGGGGTTTCTAGCTCATGCTCTGGCTTCTGGGGACCCTCCACCTCTGAGACTTTGCCCCTGTCTGCTGGCTCCTTCTTTCTTGGTGTCTATGGAGCTGGACTCTAAGCATCTCTGGCTTCCCCTAGTCCCGGGGCATAAGGGGCTAGGAGACCCAGCATAACCTTGGCCCCAGGCCTCGACAGGCACTTGGGTCATTCTCAGTTCCTGAGCTGGGGCCCGATGAACTCCATGTGATTTTGAGGGTTGAGGCTCGGGGGTCCAGAGCCCCAGATTGGACCTTGACACCTGAGGGTGTCCTTCCTTTGTCCTCCACAGCCCAGCTGTGTTCCCCCACTCATCTCCCTGTGATGGGTGCAAGTGGGCCAGACGTATGTGGAGAGACTTCTGACCAAGCCCAGATCTTGTTCCAGGGAAGCTCCACCCAGATCCCAGGAACCACATCTGGGGCCAAGAGGAAGAGATGAACTGAGCCAGGTCAGCGGGGCTGGGTAGAGAAGTCTGTGGCCTGGGAACCTTAGGCCCTCTGTCGTGACCCCCACGGGAAAGGGTGGATTTAGAGAGCTACTGTGCAGCACCGGGCAGGCATAGAGGGACAGAAGCCAGGACTGTGACTCAGGACTGTGTCCCAGGACTGGGTCTGGGCTGAGTAGGGACAGGTGAGAGGAGAACAGGAAATAGGCTAGGCTCTGCAGGCGGGGTAGCTTTGACCTTTCCCTGGCCTTTGGGGTTTACCCCACTCTCCCCCAGCCAACCAGCAAATTTCTTAATCCTCCCGTCTGCCTTCCAAAGGGCCCCACCCAATGGGCTCATTCAGGGCAGAAGCAATAATGTGTCACTCTCTTCCCAGAACCCAGCCTTCCTGCCAGGAAGGGGGAGCTGATGTAAAAACTCTGGGGAGGTCTTGGGCTTGGAGGTGAGGTCCTGACTCTCCCCACATCCCCTGGTCTGTAGACCCACTTCCTTAGCCAGACTCTGAAAGGCGACCTCACATGCCAGCTCCCGTGGGCTGGGCACCCGCCAGGGAGGCCAGGCCTAGCAGCTCATTACCATGGGAGGGAGGGCAGTTTCTCTGCACTTCCCTCCTCCTCCCACTTCGCCTTCTTCCTTACCAGCTCCTCTCCTCCAGGGCCAGACTGCGGGCTACGCTCTGGCTGATCTCAGCACACACCCACAGACCTCACAGATTCCAGGAGCCCAGGGGAGGCCTGGGAGCCACCTGCAGCCATGTCAGCCCTCAGCCTGCTCATTCTGGGCCTGCTCTCCGCAGTGCCACCCGCCAGCTGTCAACAAGGTGAGCACAGAACTGGCCCGTGGTGGCTGTGGTGCGGAGGGCTGGGCTGGGTGCTGGTACCAGGTGTGGATGAGGGGTGTCTTCTGGCCTCTGTCACCACCCTTGACACCTGCAGCTCTGACAGGGGAGCAGAGACTGGAGTCATGGAGGAACCTCCAAAGGCCGAGAACTTGGAGCCAGATTTCTGCCTGAGACTCTTTTCCATGAGTGAGAAGTGCAGGCAACAGGGGAAATGTCGGGTCTAGGATCGGGGAGAGGAGTTGAGACGCAAGCTCTAGGAGCAGGAATGTCCCTACAGATGGCTGGGTCCTGCGAGCAGGGTTTGGGCTGAGCCACTTGTGCCAGGGGAGGGGCCGAGCTGTCACTTGTGCCCATGGCTTTGGCATAAGCCCTCATTTTAGTTTCCTGGCCTTGGTAGGGGACAGTGCTCCAGTGTGGCCCCCACCACCTACCTGAGTTCTTTGCCCAGCTCTGCCTCTGTCTTGCTGTGTGGCCTTGAGCAAATCACTACCCCTCTCTGAGACTCAGCTTTCTCATCCGTAATATGAGGACAATAAAGCTGCCCTGCCTACCTCCCACTGTGGCTGCCGTGTCAGGGGCGTGGAAGAGCTTGGCACCAGTGAGGTGCCACACCCCAAGATCTGGTGTCTGCCCTGCACTGTGAGGCTACATCTGCAGCCTAAGTCTGGACTCTTCTCTCCTACCGCAGGCTCTGCCCCTTGCTCTGCCTCACCTCAGAGCCACATGGTGTGTCTGGAGGGAGTTGGCTGCAGAGTTCAGAGGAAGCAAGGAGGCCCCCCCCCGCCCCCCCAAGGGCTTGAGCCCTAATTCCTAATCTTTGAGCAACCGCTAACCTGAGGAAACAATGTGTCTAAACCATTGCTTCTAGGGGAAACAACGACTCCAAAACATTGCTTTTTGGCAAGTATGAAACTCAGGGTAACCACGCTGTGAATCTTCTGTTACCCAAGGAGAGAAGCAAGATCTGACCTGGCCATAGGCCAGAGAGTTCCCAAACCCCGCCTCCCTTCCAGCACCTGCCGGCTCAGAGGGAGCTGAGAAGAGGCAGGGCCTTCACTCCTGCAGGAGGCTTTAGGGTAGACTTAAGGAAGGACTTTCGAGTGAGAGTGAGTCAGAGTGAGCTTTTTGATGCCCTGCCTGGCGCCTCAAAATAGAGGATGGCACTAGGATGCTGGTGTTTTGGGCTGGAGGCAGGACCCCTCTGAAGCCTCCTGCTAGCCTCTGTTCCCTCCTGAGACCTCTCCCTGCTGATGCGTGCATGTCCTCTGTGGGGCCAGGTTCCTCAGGCTCACGGGGCACAGTGCTGCCCAGGCAGTTAAGAGCCCTTGGGGCTGCCAGTGGCTGAGGACAGAGACGTCCGAGAAATCTTGAGGGATAGAGGTGGTGTCAAGGGTAAACATAACCCTTAAGGGGAAGAAGGCAGAGATGTGCATGGACAGGGCCTCACCCCCTGAGCACGTAGCTGGAGGAGCTGAAAGGGTCAGGTTTTGAAGTTTCCTTCCTGGCCCTGAAGACCCAGAGGAGAGCCCCTCTGTCTTGCGTTTTGTCCCACCCCCCACTCTCTCTGGGCACCTGGGCACCCATAGCTGAGCAGCAAGCCTGTCTCTCATTCCCATGCCCCACCCAGCACTAGGAACCCTCCTGCTACAGAACAGGATCTTCCAGATGCCAGCCCGGTCTGTCAGCACCGGGCTGCCCAGCCTGCTGGGAGCCAGGGAGGAGGGTTGGCACCCCTGGGTGGCAGGCCTAGGCTGGCTGTCCAGAGGGCTGCCCTTTGGTCCCTGTGGCCCAGACACTCCCTATGGGGCCCTGCAGGTAACCCATGATGAGGGGGCTCTGGGCTGCCTGGACCTCAGACACAGTATTAGGAGGCCTGTTCCCTCCTCAGTTCCTCATTCCTCCTTTGAACTCCTGTCTTCCTTCCTCCAAACCTCCATTTGTTTCTTCAGCTCAGTGGAGTGTCCGATGGGTCCTCCTTTCCATCGCTGCCACCCAGAAGGTCTCCTCTGGCCCTGGCAGCTGGCTGATGACCTCTAGCACAGGCCCCAGCCCTTGGGGTGGAAGGCCCTCCCCCTACTCTGTACTCACAGCCCCACTGTGGCCAGATCACTGCAGCACCCCCACTCCTCTCCTCCAGGCCTGGGGAACCTGCAGCCCTGGATGCAGGGCCTGATCGCCATGGCCGTGTTCCTGGTCCTCGTTGCAATTGCCTTTGCTGTCAACCACTTCTGGTGCCAAGAAGAGCCGTGAGTGCTTCCTGGGGACCCTGGGGACCCTGGGGGCTGGACCACCAGGGTGGCCCCAGGACCATGGCTACTGCTCCAGTAGAAACCCAGGGTCCAGTCCTCTCATGGTGTAAAAGGCCCGACGTCTTGGGCTACAGCACCAGCTCACTGGCTCCCAGACCTGCCTGCAAGGCCCCACTGCTCGGTGCTCACTCACTGGGAGGGTGGGGAAATGGCTCTTCTTCTCAGTCTATCTGTATAGTTGATACAGCTGCCCAGCCCACGATGGGGGCTGTGAAACCTCTGAAAAGGAAGGCTCTGTCCTTCCCTGGGGTCAGCTGCTGTGCCACACGTGGGGGTACAGAGGGGCAGTGAGACAGGCACCCCTGTGCTCACAGGTTCCCCATTGGCAGGGGAGGCAGGTCTGAAAGCAGCCGGCAGAGGTGCAAGTACTGCCCCTAAGGGGAGAGCAGAGTGCGGTGCAGGCCTGACCCATCTGGAGAGCAGGGGTGGTCCAAGAAGGCCTCCACTGCACGTTTACCCCAAAGCCAGTCTCAGGATAGGGTGGCCTGGAATGGAGACTGGAGGCAGGGAAGAGTGCCCTGAGGTCCTGAGGTAAGGGCAGGGCACCGAGGTAGAGGGGCTGGGCTGAAATCTGGCCCACTCAGCATTTGCCCACCCTGGGCGCAAGGCTACAGCTGCCCCAGCTCTCACCCACATGGTCTGGGGCCGCAGTGCAAGGAGTAGCCCTGTACAGCCCACTGAGAAGCACAACATCTCATGGGTGGAGAGAGGGATAGAGAGCTCCGAGATAGGCCAGTGATGAAGGCACGGGCCCAGGCCAAGCAGACCCCTGCATAGCAATGTGCTGAACCGTGGGCTTCTCCCCAGTGCGGTGGGGATCTAGTGCAAGTTTGCAAGTGGTTCTGGTTGCCCTCAGTGGGCATGTGCAAAGAGAGCAATGCGGAGGCTGGGCATGAGGTCAGGAGAGAGTCTGGATGATGGAGGTGACAAGGGGATGCAGAGAGGCGACATGTCTAGACTGTCTGCTGCCTAGGAATCAGACCCCCTGGGATGGAGGGATGGAGACAGCAGCAGGCAAGAGGAAGGACAGGGAAACATTTAGGCTTCTGACAAGACCACTCCTGAGACACAGAACACAAAAGCAGAGCTGGGGCAACTGCTGAGTTTAATTTGGGACACAGTAAGTCTGAGCAGCCTGTGGAATGTCCAAGGCAAGATGAGCAGCAGTAAGGCTCCCTGGAGCCCTCAGGAAAGCAGTTTCTGGGGAGGTGGGACAGAGACCACACTCAGGGGGTTTAATCCTACATAATAAAAGGCTAATATGCAAATAGACTGAACGGTGGAACGACCGGTCGCTATGATGCGCACTGACCACCAGGGGGCAGATGTTCAATGCAGGAGCTTCCCCCTGGTGGTCAGTGCACTCCCACAAGGGGAGCACTGCTTAGCCAGAAGCCAGGCTCGTGGCTGGTGAGCGCAGAGGTGGTGGCAGAAGACTCTCTCGCCTCTGCAGCAGTGCTAAGGATGTCCGACCGCTGGCTTAGGAGAGCAGGCCTAAGCTGTCAGTCAGACACCCCCTAAGGGCTCCCAGACTGCGAGAGGGAGCAGGACAGGCTGAGGGATCCCCCACCCCTGAGTGCATGAATTTTGTGCACCGGGCCTCTAGTCTTAAATAAGGGTCCAGGAGCTTTGCCCTTTCTCCACTGACCTCAGCTCTGTCTTCAGTGGCTGGTGACCATGGTGCTCCTGCTGCCTGGGAAAGTCCTGTGGACATCTTGAGCAGACCCTGAGTCCTGCGGGGTCTGCTCTGGGGCTGAGCTGAGCCAGAAGAACAGCAAAGGGAGGCTGCCAGTCTTGGGCTGGGACCTGTGGCTCCCACTGTAGAGCAGGCAGAAGGTGTGAGGGCCCATGGAGTGGGGCCAGAATCAGGTGCTGCCAGGGGCCCCACAGGAGAGAGGGGCTTCTGCTAAAGGGCAGCAGCCTCTGCCCTTGGACTTGTGAGAACCAGAGCCCAGACAAGGCCTTACTGGACGTGGGGAGAAGGGGGTACAAGAAGGGAGGGCTCCAGAGAGCTCTCCTGATGAATCCTGTCTCCAGGGAGCCCGTGAACATGGTCATGACCGTTGGCAACAAGGAAGATGGGATTCTGGCAGGAACGGAAGGGAAGTATTCCTCGATGGCGGCCAGCTTCAGGTGAGGTGCTCCAGGGGCTGGGACATCAGGACCAGGTGCTTCTGCCGGAGCTGGAGGGGAGGATGGGACGCCTGTGGGGCAGGGCTCAGTGAGGAGAGAGGGCCCACGAGGGGACTGGTGAGCAACGGGGGCTTGATGAGGACCGCAGGTCCATGGGGATAGGAAGCCTTAGTTTGGGGAGAGGAAGGGGATAGGGACTTGGTGGGGGAAGGGGCTCAGTGAGTGGATTGGGACTCAGGAAGGATGCAGTGGGGAAAGGGACTCTAAAGAGAGGAGTGGAGGGACTCTGTGTGGGAAGAGAGCTCAGTGGGGAGGTGGTCTCATTAGGGGGCTCAGTGGGGCCTGTGTGGAGGGGCTCCGTGGAGGGGGTTCAGGGAGGTGGTAATGAGAGACCTCCAGTGTCAGGTGCACAAGACCAGATGTGGTCAGGGGAACCCCTTCTGGGACTCAAAAGTCTCCTCTGAAAGATGCTGTTCTCACAAGTGCTGGATGGGGCAGGGAGAAGGCGATGGGAGGGAAGGTATACTGACCCCTGTCACCCTCTTTCAGGTCCAATGAGCATGAGAACGCCTATGAGAATGTCCGGGAGGAGGAGGGCAAGGTCCGGAGCACCCCCATGTGACCCCACTTGCCGGTGGCCCCCAGCGCTGAGCCTGGGTGCCTGAAATCAATGCCATGCCTCTGAGCAGGAACCTACAGTAACAGGCCGACTTTTCCACCACACCCCACCCCACCCTCCTTTGAATCCTCCTTCGGAACTCAGACTGTGCCTGGGATGGGGCTCCGCTGTGGCTCTGAGGTCTCCTGGGGGGTCTCCCACTCAATTCAATTCAGGAGACCCTTCTGAAGGAGACAGTCAGCTCAGCACCTCCCATCCTGCCTACATTTCCTCCCCTCACTGTGGAAATGGCCTTATTTCTGTAAATAAAACCTTTTTGTACTTCGGAGGCTCCCAGGGCTCAGAAACAGCCCCTACCTTGCGTTCTGCATCGTGACAATCAGTACCAATGCTGCTCTCCAATCAGCATTGGAGGGTTACCCAGGAAGCCCTCTCTGGGAGGCCCCGGGGGGCCAGGGAGCTCACCACTCCACCCTTATTCCAGGCAGCACAACCCCTTCCCTCCCTCTCCATGCTGCCTGGCACTGTGGTGGGTTCACTTATATCTCACCCATTCAGCTCCAACCCCCTCCACAAGCCTCTCTGGGTGGGCTTCCTGCATGGGAAAGAGTCTTGGACTAGGGACTTACAAGGCGCAGATTTGAGTGCCCGCTGCTCCACCAACTTGCTGTGTGACTTTGGGAAGAGTCACATCCTCTCTGAACTCAGCTTCCCCTCTGTGGCTGGTTTGGCCAGTCTCACCACAGAACCAGTCCTGGGGTGGGGATAGGGGTGGGGGTGCTGTCAGGCTCCCCATGAGAGTAAAGCAGGAAGGAGAGAGAGGAGGCATGACTTAGCTGCTGGCTGACCTTGCAGGCCCCTCACTTCTGTGACTGTCATTGTTATGGGAACAGCCTCTGTCTCTCTGTCTGGGGTGACAACCAGAGTCAGACTCACCCGGGAGCACCCCCAGATGCAGAGGAGTGGGGCTGCAAGGTAGGAGGCAGACCACTTGTCCCCAAGATCTCCCTCTGCCAACTGTCCCAGCCTGTCACAGCGTCTTCACTTCACCGTTTGTAGCCATGCCTCTGCTGTTCTAAGGCTTCACTCAAATGCCCTGGGCGACCCATCTGAAGTCCGGACCATCCCTTCTCTCCTCACTGGGTTTGCAGCCTGCAGCGATGGGAAGACCGGACAGAAGGGCAGCAGGGTCTTTGCCCCAGGCTTACCCTTCCTTGCTGTGTGGACTTGGGCAAATCTCCTCTCCTCCCTGAGCTTCAGCTCAGTGAACTGTGGCAGTAGCTCTTGTGATTGATTAAGTGATGATTAAGATGATTTTCAAGATCACTTCCCTCATGCTCAGAGGATCATGAGCAGAAATCCTGCTTGGGAATTGTACTTCAAGCAGCCACCCCCTGGGCGATGCCTCCTCACCCACCCCTGCTAGTTTCAATTCTGCATATTCCTTTTTTTTCTTGGCCCAAACAAGGTTCCTCTTCCGTTAGGAAGTCTTCCTGGATTAGACCAGAGGGCAGAGCTGGGAGACTGAAGGAGAGAGGGAGGTTGCTAGCGGCAGAATACCTCTTCCTCCTCTCCAGCCTCAGGTCTGAGCTTTGGCTGCCTGGATCCGACCCTCCTTGCATGACTCTACATTTCCTGCCACTGCTGCCCCCAAGGTGTCCCGAGGGTGGGGTGGGGTGGGTTTGAGTCCGGCCCCCCAGGCCTGCTAGGGCCCAGAGGCAGAGCCACCACCCCTCTGCAGCAAGTGAAGCCTGCGCCTCTCACCTGTTAGGTTTTACCAGGTGGGATGGGCTCGCAGGGGCCTGCCCAGGTTCCTGGTGGGATGGGCTCACAGGGGCCCTGACCAGGTTCCTGGGCCTCTTCAGCCCCTCCCCATGCTGGCAGGCCCAGGATGGTGGGAACTCTGGGGGTCCTTGCAGGTGCTGGGCTGGCACTGACCTTTCTACTACCCCCCCCCCCCTTGTTCCTGCCCTGACAGGGGGCAGGGGACAAGGGGCTGTCGGCCCCAGAACTGCTGGAGCCCCCAATCCTTATCGCTAGTTCCCACCTGCCCGACTGGCCAGATGAGGGAGGGAA